CGGAAGAGAGGCTCTCCCAATTGGATGAAGCGAAAACCCCACAGTGATTCGAAGCTTTTAGGCGAGTTTTCTGTACAGTTTCTTCCTTTTATGTTATATATATATATATATATATATTATATTCTTGGCAATTGAATATAGAGTATCATCATTTTCTTTGGTTCACTGATAATAACAGTTATAACTTCATTTGATGTAGCTACCAAGTTTCCTTTGGTCTAAGTACCGCATTAATGCCTTTTTTTTTTAATTGTCGGTGATGTATATTTTCTAAAAAAACGATTTTTTGATTTTTTATATTAAAAAATATTCTGTTTCTGTTATAGAAAATCACTAACTGTTAAATTGAATATTTTTTTTATAATTTACATAAGAATAAAAAACTAAACATCATCCATTATATAATCAATTTAAATTCAATTAATAATATTTCACATTTCAAATAACCTTTGATCCTATTTTCAAAATCCATTTGTTTTGTGGCCAGATCTATATATATATACACTGGGCCCATTGACCCAACGATATGGGTAGGTTTATGACCCGACCCGGCCCAAAAAATGCCCTTTAAAGTCTCCAACAACAATTCAGACCGGACTTCACCATTTTCGAGATCTCTATTTCGTTTGACTCACTCTTCAGTGTCTCCAATCTCCATCGTTGAAGAGGATGAGCTCCCAAATCTGCAGATCGGCTTCTAGAGCCGCGCGGTCTCTTCTTCCTTCAGCTAAGAATGCTCGTTTCTTCTCCGGTACGTAAAGCTCCTCCCATTTTCTCTTGTGGAAAATCTCAGTAATGTTAGATTCCGTGGAACGTGTGTTGATTCTTCTAAGTTTTACGACGATTTCGTACTGTTGATATGTCTATGCTCGATCGATTCACTGGATGATTGTGTGGAAGCGTTTTCATTATGAGATTGTATTGAGCTTGATTGGATCTTCGATTTGTTGTCTAATCGGGTACCGATGATGGGTTCAACTCAGTTTTCTTTGAATTTCATTTCTCTCGTTGTCACTAAGACATCAACGTTCTTCTGCTAGTCTATCATTTTCTTGTTAATCCTCGTTTATAACAACGGCGGATTCTTTTGAAGATGGCAATTCTTTCGTTTTCACTAAGATATCATCGTTTGCTTGTTAATCTTGCGTCTATGCATTTGTGATGTGGTATGCATCATATCGAATGGCATAAAACACAGTTATGTGGAAACCTAGGAAAACTGAACTGAATTTGGGCTTTCAGATTTTTAGGTTCTTGTCTGATGATCTGTTTTCATGTAGGAATTTGCTTTGTAATCCCAATGATGCTTTAAAATCTCTTGTTTCTTGTTCTAAAATAGAGAAAAGATGGTTCAGGTGGGTTTGAGAATAAGTTGATCAGTTCCTCTTTGTTTTCTTTTGTCTCTTTCCGTTCTAAGGTCTTAACCTTTTCTGTTAATCCGTTTTCAGAAGGCCGAGCCATTGGTGCAGCAGCAGTTGTTTCTGCCGGCGGGAAGGTTCCTCTTTTTGCATCAAACTTTGGAAACTCAACTGCTGGGAATATCTCCAGGAGCTGGATCTGTGGACTCTTAGCTCTTCCTGCTGCAGGTTTGACGACATAACTTGGTTTACGATCTTTTGAATGTAAATATTTTCTCTCACTTTAGTCATGTGGGTTATGTAAACTATACATGTATCTCTCTCTTTGTGTAGCCTTTATGATCCAAGACCAAGAGGTACATGCTGCTGAGGTAAATACATCCCCAAACCAGACTTATGTATGCACATATCATTATTATTTTTCACTATTATGTCCTCTTAACGAAATCTTCTGTTTGATCAGATGGAACGCACTTTCATAGCTATCAAGCCCGACGGAGTGCAGAGAGGGCTGGTAAGAGAAAGCTCAGCCTGTACTTGTTTGTTTAATCCAATCTCAAGTTAGTACCTTTTTGGTTTAGTTAACATGCTCAACTCTTATCCTGTGATCATCAGATATCAGAAATCGTCTCCCGGTTTGAGCGCAAGGGCTTCAAGCTCGTTGGTATAAAAATCTTGGTCCCTTCTAAAGATTTTGCGCAGAAGCATTACCATGATCTGAAGGAAAGACCCTTCTTCAACGGTTTGTGTGAATTCCTAAGCTCAGGCCCCGTTGTTGCCATGGTAAAGGAACTTTCCTGAACCCGAAAATGGATTACCCACCTTGAAAGGCCTTACACTGTATATGTCATCTGACCGAGAAAACCCGACTTGTTAGGTTTGGGAAGGAGAGGGTGTGATCAGATACGGTCGTAAACTGATCGGAGCCACTGACCCACAGAAATCTGAACCGGGAACTATCCGAGGGGATCTGGCAGTTGTTGTTGGAAGGTATATATCATCAGGACATATAAATATTACCAACCAAACTCAAACTATTCAAATCTCATATGAAGCATGAATCAAAACCTGTACCATGTTTCAACTGTTAAATCAAATGACATGTAGATTTGGAACACCAAGAAGAGCTTATAGTAATTGAGGGTTTTTGTTTGTGGTAATCAAGGAACATAATCCATGGAAGCGACGGGCCAGAGACGGCTAAGGACGAGATCAAACTGTGGTTCAAACCCGAAGAACTCGTTTCTTACACAAGCAACGCTGAGAAGTGGATCTATGAGCAGAATTAATCTTCTTTTTCTTTAGATGATGACAACAACAATCATGCTGTTTTGACAAAAAAAAACAATAATGCTGTCTTTTCAAGGAAGAAATGCTGAGACAAGAAGATAAACAGGAAAGGGAGTAAACAGCCTTGAGATAGGAAATAATGAAGTTATTGTGATGTTTTGATTTATGAACATTGTTAAGTTTTGCTTTCTAATAATATAATCCATGGATTACTGAATCTTATATTATTTTCCTTTTTGATTCAGCGATTGAAATTTATCCAGAGCTATTGAACCGGATTATTCAAAATGATATACGCCCATCAGCTGAGGGGATGAAATCTGTTCCGAAACGCAATCACCGACACTCAACGAAGGAGACTCTCGAACTCACTTTTGGACAATGGAACCGAAGGGAAAAAAATAGGTAGAACTTTGGCTCAATCACCGGCCAACCAAGGACACTCGAATTCAAGCCAAAGTCTGATGAAATGGATGGAAAATCGAAGGATAGGGTGACAAACCAAGATAAGTTTCTCGGACAAACTGTGTAAAGTCGGACAAGAGTAAGATTAAAATAAAAATGAGCTAATTGTTAAGTTATATAAATTATAAAGATGGGGGTGTAGCTCATATGGTAGAGCGCTCGCTTCGCATGCGAGAGGCACGGGGTTCGATTCCCCGCACCTCCATACTCTCCTTTTTTATTTTTTTTTATACATTTTATTTTATTCTAAAAACCCAAAATTTTCTCCAAAGAGGAACTGAAAAAACTCGTCAGACGTATATGAGCACATTATCTATCTATCGACGCTATCTGAACTCTGAAGCTGCGAGCTACGAAGACATATCCACATTTTATCCGGCTGGTGGTTCCAGCGTCTGCCCTGCCATGGCACTTGCCTTTTCCGTCTCTCCTCCGAACCGAGAGAATCTTGGACAAGAGGCTAATCAGAAAGCAGCGCAGGTATTGGGTTTCTGGTTAAACTCTTCCAAATCGCAGGCAGCATGATCACAGGAGCTGGGCTCGCCATTTCTGCATTCGCCACAGGATGGATGAAAGAACATCGCCATGGCGGAAAAGCCTTTTCATCCGATACCGTCAAGGCACTTCAAGGAAGAAGCTCACGGGATTCAGATGCGGTATTATAGAGATGATGAGGATCACAAGCTTCGTTTCCAGAGTCTACAAGTGCAAATCACCCTTCTATCTAAAACCTGTTTCCTTTCCTTCCGTATTTGTATGTAAACTACAACGGATTCTGGGTACAGACGCTTTACCCCCAAGAAAAAGAAAATGAAGAACAGCAGCAAAGCAGAACTGTCGGAGATATCAACAACGGACCGCCGCGATGGATCCATCAGCCGTGGCAATGGTGATTCTGCACTTCGATTTTGCAGCGACTCTGTGCGTCATGAAACGCAGAACCCTAACCCGACCCGTTATCTCCAGATCCGTCTCTATCTCCATCGCGGGTCCGACTCTATTACCCGCATCGATAACTGGTCCGGAGCCCTGAAATCTAGCAGCTTCAGCGGAGGCCACCATCGCAAGAGATAATGAATCGACGGAGAAACTCGCCGACATGTGCTTCGTCCGGCCCGATCGGATCTCGCCCGCGGGTATGAACATGAACCCGACCCGTTTCCCGAAGTAGAAGAGCTGGATTTTACTGTTGTAGTGGGAGAAGACGGCACGGTTAGGGTTTCTGACGGAGGCGAACTCGGAGAAGGTGAAGCTGACGGAGTTGTTGGTGACGGAGAATAACGGAAGCTTGACGCCGGTGACGGAGATCTCTGGGTCCCTGGGTCTGAAGACGATGAGGTAAACGGTAACGGCTGCAACGATGACGGCGATTATGAAGACCGTCGCGACGATGCAGGACGCGAGGTTTGTACAGGTACAGCACGACGGAGGCTTGGCCATTCTTGGAGGGGTTGTTTGGTAACGAGGTTTAAACGGGTTTTCCGTCGGGATAAGAGTTGCGAGAAGAAAGGGAGTGCTTGGACATAGGGATAACAGATAGAAATGGGGACGGCCTGGCCGCCCGATCGGATGTGTCCTTATTTCTTTTGTTTTCACCTGAAAATTTCATCCGTAATTAATATCCCAACTAATTAAAATTTTCCGATAAAAACTTATTCACTCAACCAAAAATTGGAAAAATATTCTGATATTTTCTATTTTTTTAATTATTTTACACTCCTAGAATTAGAGTTTGATTAGTTTTCTCCTATAAATGATCGGTCTTGTGTTTATATTGATCTATTAAAGTGAGTATTGTTCTTTCTATTCATGAATGATTGATTTTTTTTTTTTGGTTTCCAAGAAGAAACAGAGATTCTAAGAAAATTAGACATTTTAATATTTTAAAAATCAATGTAATACGAGATTATTATTATTATTATTATTAAGCTCTCATTTACCAAAAAATGAGAGAAAAAACTGAATTTAATTGAAAAAAAATAATTACTTTATTGTTGGGCCAACAAGGCTCGTGATAACTGGGCTTGACATATTAGCCCAATTTCAGGTCAAAGATATCGTACGACGCCGTTTAGGTTTTTAAAACTCCACTTCCATCTTTGCGTGTTTTCCCGCCCTCTCTCTCTCTTGATCGACGACGATGTCGATCAAGCTTCTCGTTCTTGTTCTCTCTGTCCTGGTAATCCTCACGAAAACCTATTTGATCGCCGAAGATCCATTCCTTGATTCCGCCGTCTCGACTCCAATCTCTCCGTCTCCATGGATTCTGCCCTCTCGATCGCCGCCGCAGGCTCTTTTCGTCTTCGGAGATTCCTCGGTCGATTGTGGGACGAACAACTTTCTTGGGACCTTCGCCAGAGCAGATCGGCTCCCTTACGGCAGAGATTTCGATACTCATCAGCCCACCGGGAGGTTTTCCAATGGAAGGATCCCGGTGGATTATCTGGGTTAGGACTTGCTTGTTTCTAGTTTGGGCCGATTTTTTTTTTTTTACTTTATCGTTTGATTCGTTCTACTGTTTTGATTGATACACCATTTGGATCTTGTTAAAGGTGCTTAGATCTGTTAAGGGTGCCTAGAAATGCAGAGAAAGTAGAGGGAAACCCAGAAATGAGATGCTTTGTATTTTTCCCTTGTTTTTTTTTGCCGGTTTGGTGCGTTTTCTTTCGATTCTTTATACCTGCTGTTTGGTTGCCGAGAAAATGTTAAGGAAATGGAGTGGGGGATTGATTCGGTGCATGGAAAATCTTGTAACAGCTCTGCGACTTGGCCTCCCGTTCGTTCCAAGCTATCTTGGACAGACCGGAACAGTGGAAGACATGCTTCACGGTGTGAACTATGCTTCGGCTGGGGCTGGGATTATCTTCTCCAGTGGATCCGAACTGGTAAAATCCCTACTCGAACTTAGTTTCCATTTCGAAATAGCAATGTTGAGTTTCACAATCTCGGTTGCAGGGCCAAAGGGTTTCATTTGCAATGCAAATCGAGCAGTTTGTGGACACATACCAGCAGATCATACTCAGCATTGGAGAGGAAGCTGCTGATAATCTGATCTCGAACTCAGTTTTCTACATTTCGATCGGAGTGAATGATTACATACATTTCTACATCAGGAACATCTCCAATGTCCAGAATCTCTATTCTCCGTGGCATTTCAATCAGTTCTTGGTTTCCAACATGAAACGGGAGCTCAAGGTGAATAACATTACTTCCATATGTTCATGTCTGCATTTACAATCAGAGTTCATCCACATGGTACAGAGTCTAGACGCACAATGCGGTATAGGGAGTCAGATTAATCACGATAGTGAAAAGGTTTAGAACCCGAACTGAGAAAACCGAACCTCTTAAGCTCGATATCACAAAAAGCTAAGGTTAAGAGATCAAATTCAAACTAATGCCTGTTCTTCTTTGTTTGGATGTTTGATTTATCAGATTAAGCATTGCCAGGTTTTAAGCACTTTAAGATCATTGTCGGTTTCATTTCATATATGTTTTCAATCACAGAACTTGTACAATGTAAACGCGAGGAGAGTAGTGGTGATGGGGTTGCCACCAATCGGATGTGCACCGTACTATCTGTGGAGATACAGCAGCCGGAACGGAGAATGCGCAGAGGAAATGAACAGCATGATCATGGAATCCAACTTCGTGATGAGATACATGATTGATCAGCTTAACCTCGATCTTCCTGGCGCTACATTAATCTTCTGTGATGTGTTACAAGGCGCCATGAACATCCTCCAGAACCACCAGCTCTACGGTTAGTATAAGCAGTAACCTTTTGGAAAAGACAGTGAAAGATCCTCACTTTATGTCATATCTTTCGTAACTACAACTTGGGCGAGTCATTGGGCAACTCGGTGGGGTCTTACCGAGTTTTTGTTTGGTGACTCAGGTTTCAACGTGACGAGTGAGGCGTGTTGTGGGTTGGGGAAGTACAAGGGGTGGTTCCCGTGCATAGCGCCGGAGATGGCGTGTGAGGACGCATCTTCCCATCTGTGGTGGGACCAGTTCCATCCCACCGACGCCGTCAACGCCATCCTCGCCGACAATGTCTGGAACAGCAGCCACGTGGACATGTGTTTTCCCATGAGCTTGGAGGCTTTGCTCGCTTCTGTCTGAAGGAGAGGGTTTCAACGATTTTGCTCCGGCGGTGGAGATGTGAGTACCCGTACACGTTTTGATAAATGGAGGAAAAGTAAGAGATGAGTGCATGTCTTGGTTTTAGGTTAATATAGGTTGATGCGGATGATCAATATCCTCGTACTTTTAACAAATGCGAATACATATATACATAAACATATATAAGCATATGTATATACATATATACTTCCCAGTTATTCGATTTGGTGAAAGAGCAATAACAAAGGTACTTGTCCATTTTTTGATTTTTCAATTCAGAAGACACATTTGGCTACTCAAAACATTTTATATTTATAATGAGATCAATTTTTTTGGGCTTTGTAGAAGAAAGGAATTTGCTTGCAAAATCCTCCGTATCTTTTTGTATTTTAAGGATTGGCCCAAGGTTTTGAAAGCTTGCTAAAAGACCCCATGGGAAGTAGAAACTTTCACATTTGTGACCCCAAAAGGCAAATCATGAAATTCCAAATTACGAAAGTCCCATATTTCTCCGTCTTCCTCAGCAAGGACGGATTTCCTCTCTCTCTCTCTCTCTCTCTCTCTCTCTCTCTCAAGTCCAATGATATTTTCTGCAGACGGTGACGTCATCGCCCATGAATTTTTGCTTTACTCGTTTTGACCTAGGAGAATCTCTCTGTTTTCCATGCTCAACCATTTGTTTTCTTCGTGATTTCCCCAACAAGTCTGAGATTTCTCTCCCTGCTTCGTAGTTTTTTTCATCGAAGGTAGGTGGTCCGAGAATTATCGGGGGGATTTTTTTTTTGTACTGTTCGCTTCATCGTCGATCGCTTTTCCTTTTTGGTTTGCAGATTCTTTTTGGGGGAGAATAATAATGGAGCTCGATTTTGTTACGAGCAACTTGCTTGACGATGACGCTGTTGAAGTCGGATCAAATGTCACCGTAAGCTTCTCCTTTCTGGGCTTTTTTCCCCAGGACTCGTGTATGAACTATCCACGCAATCGATCGAAATTTGTGTTGATGTATAGAGTTAATCACAGTCGTGAATTGCTTTCTTTAATGCTCAAGCTCGAACTTGCAATTTCCTGTTGAAGCGATTCCTCCAGTAGAATTTTATCTGTCATGTAAATTTCCGAATGTGTTCTATATAAAGATCAAACCTATGAACAGAAGCCGCTGCAAATGGAATTGGGTTTAAATTTCGTGACCTGTTGTAGGATACTTCATGTTTTTGTCCCCCATTGAAGGAAAATTTATGGGAGGGATGGAGAGACTGTTGTAATACATGTTTGGGTTTCTGAAATGGTTTCTCACTGTGATTTTTGGTTTCTCTTTTGCCAGGATTTTGCTGGAATTGAAGGCGAGAGATGCGGGATTTGCATGGATATTATCATTGATAGAGGTGTTCTTGATTGCTGTCAGCACTGGTATAGCTTCTCGTCTTTAAAGTTATAGTGTTTCTTTAAACAGTCTAAGTTTGAACTTTGAATTAGGATTTAATATTGGAAAAATTGCGAGACTGTGTATGCTGAGTTTTTTTTTTCCATGAAAGAGCGGAGAGATAGTTGGTGGCTCTGGTTGTTTAATTCATCTGGTGCCTTTTTCAGGTTTTGCTTTGAGTGCATCGATAACTGGTCTACGATTATGAATCTTTGTCCTCTTTGTCAGAGCGAGTTTCAGTTGATTACATGTGTCCCTGTAAGTACTTCATGAGTTTTCTGTTTGTGTTGTTAGGTTTATGCTGATGAACATTGTTGTTTCTTACTTGAACGTGTTTGAAATCCTATGGTTGTGAGTTTTAATAAGCTCTTGGGTTAGGTAATGAGTTTTCTGTTTGATCATGAAGGTGTATGATATAGGTGGGAGTGGCAAAGATGGTGAGGATTCATCATCCAGGTATTGAAATCATGTTTTTTCCTCATCACGAATATTGTTTTCCTGATCTTAAGGATTCATTCAAACTCTGATGATTTTAAATGCCTGAACAATTTGCATGACATTTCCCTGCAAGCACATCACTCACTCTTTGTATTTGGTAATGGCATTACAAGATGAATTAAATGGCATAACATTAATAAGTAGTTTAGGATGATAAAAATCCTGTATCTACCATGGGTTAATAACTAACTGTTCAAAGATCTTTATCATAATTATAGTTTCAAACGTGTGCAGAGATGAAGATTGGTGCGTTGAGGGGAAGACTGATGCCTTCTCTTCTCCATCGCACTATATTAACGAAAATGTAAGTATATCATAATTTGGCTTTTCAAGTTGCTATATAAATGTCTAAAACTTTCTTAATCATTTTGTAGGCAGTTATATGTCTAGATGGACTTGGCTGCAAAATCCGGCAGGACCCTTCTTGCATTGAAGGGGATTCCAGCCTTGATACATCAATTGCTTGTGATTCTTGCGACATATGGTAATGATGGCCTGTTGCATATTCTATGTATACATTCTCCCATGGATTTATTTGTCTTTCTATGCTGGGTCATGAAGTTCACTTTCATGGAACTCTAGTGCGTGCTAAGACTAAGTTTTGCTGCTCTGTCATATCATGTCTCCTATTGTTTAAGATTGAAGTGTCCTGTAAATATTGCATGCCAGTGGAGGCATCTTTGTTATCTTATAAGTTATAAGTGCAAGTTAACTGGATCGGTTTAGAATGATAAGTATTGCACCATTCGTTCTTGTTCTAATATTTCTGAAGATTAAAATCTCCTCTTATTGTTGCTTCAATCCATGTGCTAACAGGTATCATGCTTTTTGTGTGGGTTTTGATCCTGAAAGTGCATCTGACGATACATGGATATGCCCAAGGTAGGTTTTGGACAACGATTTAGGAGTTTACCACAGGCGATTGCTTGTCCCATGATTTGCTATGTTTGTAGTAACTATTGTAGATTTATTGCCTTTGTTTGAAGTATGTGCATGTTTTTCTTCTTGCTGGGTCCTGTGTTTAAAGAGAAAAGACAGATAGGGCTTGAATTGATGCTTTGAAGTGCCATCCTTCTTTCTAGTATCATTTTCATTTCTATTATATATGTTCTGCTTTGCTTTGTGCCTGTAGATGTCTCTCTAATGAAAAGCCTCAAGAATCTGATGCTGCAACAATGGAGGCAGGAAAGTCTGAGTATTTTCCAGAGAAATCGAATAGTGGATGCTCAGGCGAGGCTGTTTTCTCTGGAAGTTTTTCAGTTGCAGTTGCTGATGAAGGTGAGACGGCTATTGTTGTTTCGATTGTCAAAGGAAATGAGTGGCACATGGAACCAAGTGAAACCACCCCATCACTGGCTCAAGCAAAGATGGATGGATGCCCTGATAATTCTCATCTGGAAACATGTAGTATGAATGACATTAAGGAGCAGGTCCCAGGAAAACAGGAGTTGAAGCTGTCCTTATCACATGAGATATCATCTGGTTTACCTTCAGACTCGATGCCGCAATTGTTTGGCGAACATTTGGAGAATGGTACTGGTATCTTGATTGAACAAGGCAAGTTGTTTTGGTGGTAGTATTCTGTCTGTGAGGTTTTATTACTAAATTTTCGACAGATGTAGATTTTCGATAGAGTCCATTCTTGGGTGGCTAAAAAATCCATCTCAAATGTGTTTGCATGTTTTATATATTAGCTGTACTACAATAAATCTCTGTTCTCCCTGCTGCTTGGTAATGAACTAAGCTTGTATGTTACTGTAGACCCTGTAACAAGAGTTGCAGAGCAGGCCTAGACGTCTTCATCGAATTTTACAAACATGTTACATCTTATTGAGTATTGGTTTTTTTATTTTATTTTTTGGTAATCAACTTATTAATTTCAAATATTGGAAAATTTATTCACTTGAAATCATTTCCTTGTTTCTTTTTTTCTGTATGAGATTGAAATTATTTTGGCCTCGTTTTTTTATTCAATATATTAAATAAATGTCCACATCGTTTGTCATGGATCGACATTTCCGGCAACAATTGGACCCCAAATTCTTAAGCTGTTATTGTTCTCTCCTTGTACTGTACAGTACACATAAAAAAGACAAATATAGCCAAAGATTTAAAAAGTAACAAATTAAAAAATAAAACAACTAAACCCTACTCCTTAAATCTAATTATTACCAAAACTCCTAAAAAAAGCTACTAGTTTATGCTTAGTAATACTCGGGATTACTATAATATTAATTTAAATTCTAATTATTAATTAACCTTAATGAAGATACTTATTATATTTAATTGCACCGGCTTCTACTCCCTTGTTACGAGCGACCACCACAGTCGCCACATGGACGCCATAAACGGGGGCGTTAAAGATTTGGTCTGCCACGTGTCGGAGTTCCAAAACGCCGCCGTTTTGAGAGTGTTTCAATAGAAGCCTTTCGGCTTCGAGCTTTGGCATCTTGATCTTAACCCTAATGATTTCCTCTTTCCTCTTCTCCACCACGAAACCCTCTTCGCGATTCAGAGTCTCCGCGTGGAACCTTGGGACGTTGTTTGGCGACTTTAAGCCTTCTCTCTCGGGCGGAGGCTCTATCGTGGTGTGCTCGTCGGCGAATCTCACTTTCTTTCTCATTTCCTCCATTTCATTCCTGTGATGACGTAATGCAAGTACATCAATGTTTGTGTTTGTACTGCTCCACATGGTCTTATCTCCTGAAATGTGTTTTGCAGCTCTTGCCAGTGCAACCATCAATAGTTCAGATATTTCTAACATTATCAGTGCAAAGAGAAAGCATTCGGATTGCGGGTCAGTTTCACTCATTCAAACCTTGTGCACCGTCCTACTGTATGTGCTGTGTTTCAAATGTTTGTGTGTGTTTTATTTTTTCGTGGCATGTTTTTTCTTTTACCAGTGGTAATGATGACGATACGGAAACTAAGACCGAGATTGTAGAGAAACTCAAGAGGTCTAAACCAGGGGAAAAGGAAAAGGAGGAAACAATGTCGATGGACCATGAGAACATATCCACTTCAAATGATGCTACTGTTGATATATTGGACATTGTTAAAGGAACCAGTCACAAGCCTTTAAAGAGATCTTTGCATCCAAATCTTATCGATAAAGTTTCAGAAGGAGAGAATGTTGCTGGTTTGAGGGTAAAGAAGATTATGCGTACAACAGCCGATGAGAAAGAGTCTTCGGTCCTCGTTGAGAAACTAAGGAAGCAAATAAGAGAAGCTGTTCGTAACAAATCGGCGAATGACATTGGAGAAAACCTTTTTGATCCAAAACTCTTGGCTGCCTTCAGAGCTGCTATAGCAGGACCCAAAACTGAAGAACCACCTAAAACGTTGTCGCCTGTGGCAGTGAAGGCGAAGAAGTTGATGCTGCAGAAAGGAAAAGTTCGTGAGAATCTCACGAAAAAGATCTATGCAGATTCCAATGGGAAGCGCAGAAGTGCATGGCACCGGGACTGTGAAGTTGAGTTTTGGAAGCATCGTTGCATAAGAACTAGAAAGCCTGAAAAGATTGAGACTCTGAAGTCTGTTTTAAGCCTCTTAAGGAAGAATCCAGTTGACACGGACAAAAATTTGTCATCTAAAAACCTCCACCAGGCTTCAAATCCTATTCTCTCCAGATTGTACTTGGCAGATACCTCTGTTTTCCCGAGAAAAGATGATATCAAGCCTCTTTTGACGTTGAAAGAAACGGGAAGCTCCCACAACAATGCAAAGGCCACGGAAACGGACAAGATTTTACCAAATGTCAGTGCTGCGAAGGGGACAAACTCCCATACTGTTGGGTCGAAGGGTTCGGATAAATCACATCCAAACAAACGATCAGATGGAACATCCAATTCTGCATCGAGTAACTCTAAAGAAACATCGGGGAAGTCAGATGATCTGAAGAAAGACAAAAGGAAGTGGGCATTGGAGGTTCTTGCAAGGAAGAAATCTTTATCCCTTGACAACTCAAGCCAAGACAAAGAAGGAGACACTGTGATGCTTAAAGGGAATTACCCCTTATTGGTATGTAATTCCCCACCTCGCTGTTTTTTTGGAAAATCTGGAAACTGAAAAAGAAAACAAAGGCCTATCGAGTTATCTGGTGCTCTTCAATTGTTAGTTATTTATGTTTCTGTTGTTGCTTTGATCAGGCTCAACTTCCGGTAGATATGAGACCAGATTTGGCGACCAGTCGCCACAACAAAGTTCCCGTTTCAGTTAGGCAGGTAAATAAATAAAGCTGTCTCTGGTTCATCCTCAAAGCTAGTTCAGTATCTCCCGTTACTCCCGTTACCTTAAGTTTACCCTATTCTTAGTTTTGCTAATCACAATCTTATTGAGTAGCTAGCTTCATTATTTCCTGGTGGTTTTCTTTGATTATGAGCTATATGAGTCACTGGTTTAGCGGATCATATGATTAGGGGGAAAGTTCAGGCTAATCTCTTGTTGATTTTCTCGTAGAACATTATTATTTCCGTGTTTTCTTCTTTGCTCTTAAGCAAATGACTGATTCTGCAGATACAGCTATACCGCCTGACAGAGCATTTTCTTAAGAAAGCAAATCTTCCAGTTATCCGAAGGACTGCAGCCACGGAGCTAGCCATTGCGGATGCTATAAATGTCGAGAAGGCAATCGCCGACAAATCAAGCAGCAAAGTTGTGTATTTGAATCTATGTTCACAGGAGATACTGCACCATTCAGAGAGTAAAGTATTGGACAAAACTGCGGATCAGAGTTCTTTGTCATCGCCTGCTGATGACGAATCAAATCAAACTACTGACAAGACTTCAGATGATCAAGCCGTTCTCCAAGCACTCAGAACCGCAGGTCTCGTGTCTGATTCACCACCAAACAGCCCAGTATGTTCGGCGGAAGTCTTGCCGGATAAAGCAGGCAACTCCTTGGACAAATCGAGAGAGGAAGACCACCCGGACAATGTACTCGACATAGATGTAAATCCTGAGGTAGACATATACGGGGATTTCGAGTATGATTTGGATGATGAAGACTTTATGGGGGTTACCACAGCTGCGAAAGCCTTAGAAACACAGCCAGAAGAAGATCTAACAAAGGTGAAGGTAGTTCTAAATAGCCTCAAACCCGAAAAACCAGCGGTTGATCCCGACGTTTCCGAGGATGAAAACACACGGGCGATCCAGAATGCAACTGAAGATGGCGGGATCAAGCCCGTAGATGTGGAAGAGGAAGGTGGTGAGACATTTTCATTGGCGGAATGTCAAGAACTGTACGGTCCTGATAAAGAGCCAGTGGTGGTAGAAGAGAACAATCTTCCGAGTGTGAAAGCACTTGATTCCGAGTGTGAAAGCAACGTGCACAAAGAGTTCATCGGTTCTAACTTCGAGAACTCTAATATGGAGGAAGAGAAATCGTCGTCCAGAAGGGTTCAAAAGAGGAAACAGAAAGAACAGAAAGACAATACAAATACCGAAGATGGGTCTACTAGCTCTGTCACCAAGAAGGTAAGTAACCCTAATCGAATTTCCGATTCTTCACCCAGTAGTAGTAACCCCCATTGCTAAACGATTTTACGAGACCCGGTTAACGATTTCAGGTGGAGGCGTACATAAAAGAACACATAAGACCGCTGTGCAAGAGCGGAGTGATAAACGTCGATCAGTACAGGTGGGCGGTGACCAAAGCTACCGAGAAAGTAATGAAGTATCACACCGACGCTAAGAGCGCAAATTTCTTGATCAAAGAAGGGGAGAAGGTCAAGAAACTGGCCGAACAGTACGTCGAGGCGGCAGCCACCTCTTCGTCCCAGCGGAAGGAGAAGTGATATGTGCTCAGGTCTGAGACTGTTTCCTCGCTCTGTTTAAGCTTTTCATCCATAGTCTATGCTTTTTTTTTACCACGATATGTTATTCGGTAAATATGAAGAGTTTTAAGAAAGTGGTTTTGAATTCCGGAAACATAAATTTACTCGAAATGGCAAAGATTAGATTGAGGGTTCTTGACTGAAAAAGGTAAATTAGGTGAAGAAGAAAAAGGGATAGAGGTTTTTAAAGTAATTTTTAGTTTTTTTATTATTTTTTTATTCAGTTTGTTTTTTTTAGTTTTAGAAAAATTATAACTATTGAGTAAAAAAGTTCTGATTTAGTGTAGGTAATATAAAATATCCAATATTTAATAATATAGCTTTGGATATTCCCCGAGAGAAAAGAACTTACCGAGAACGAAATGGTGAAATATTAATTGAGGAGACGAAAGTAATATGTTTTTTACTGCATAGTTTCTATAAGCTGGACCGGTCATTTTTTAAATAGGAAAACTTGGTGTAGAAGGAGGCAGTGCCTTGTGGTCCACGTAAAAGAACTCAGTCAAAGGCTTGTTTTAGAAATTTCCGAAAATAGATGGAATCATGAAGTAGCCGTTGAACAAAAAGGTAAGTGTTTATATATTTGAAGATAAAAACCAGTTATCTTTTTTTGTTGTAAAATGATAATAATAATAACAGAAGATTAAAAATAAAACAAACAACAATATGCCGAAGAGTTCGCCCTCCCGCTGTCCAAAGTTAGTTTCCTCCTCCACAACACATCAATACGCGTCGCCATGCTCGCTCTCTCCCTCTCTCTCGTCCTCATCTTTCTCGTCTTCTGCATCTCTCTGTTTCTGCAAGATAGCGGCGGTCAATCTTCTCTCTATCTCTCTCTGTATTCGTGTGTATACACACTTGTGGTTATCTGTTTTCGCTGAGCGATGACGGCGCGTGGAAACCGTTCGACTATATGCCTGAACGAGAAATGGCGAAAGCAAAACAAGGATTGCAAATCTCGTGCCGTGAGGGTCTTCGAAAATGCTGATATTAAGCCCAGACGGGCTAGATTTTACGAGCGCTCTCTCTCCCTCGTTTTCTTACTCTGGTGCTTCCTCTTTCTGGTTTACTCCAAGCTTGGTCTTGGCCATAAAAATGGAGGTAAAGATGAAAACTTTCTTTTTTTTTCTGGGTTTTTTCTATTTGAGGCAGCAGACCCTTTATTTTTGTCTGTAATTTGGTGTTTGATTGCCTGGAAATTAGAAGTGGAACGGAGAGATATGGCAATGATAACTTTTAAATGTTAATTAAGAGAAAGCCTGAAAGCTTATTCATGTATTGTTTGGTTGGTAAGAAAGCTCTTGTTTGGTTGGTAAGAAAGCTCGTGGAATTGATACCTTTTTAGGTAAAGAATGATGTTTGGTTGCCCAGAAAATGGAAGTGAAAGGGAGAGAAATGATGAGTATATTGCAATTTCTCTTTGATGCCTAGATAATGCATTGGATATCTTGTCAAGTGTAAAATGAGAAGAAAAGGATAAAGAAAGGAAATGACTTTTTTCTTCCTGAAAGCTTGGAAGTGTTGTTCAGATTGCAACTTGCTGAACTGAGATCAAATTTCATTCATCACCTGCATTTCAAATTCTGAAGAAATTCATCTCTTTTGTAGATGGAACTGGAAATTACGCAGATGGGTCGGTTTTGGAAATCCAGAATTCCACAAGTCCCAATGGTACCGTTTTCTCTCAGGCGACAGCGAAAGATAGCAACTTTTGTCTAAGGAAGAAGGGCCAGCTAGAGGATGTGTTTGAGCATGCTCTGGGAAACAACACTTTGTTGATCTGCAGAGTCGTGCAAGAAGAGAGAACAAACAAGACTCTCGAAGCATATGATTCCGGTATTGTCACCTTTGATGAAAAGTTCTGTGAAGTAAACGGTTCCACCGAGCCAACGGAGCTTGTAAATGTGACCCATCATAGGTTAGAGCCGGATGGAATGGGGTATAATTTCGCTTCTGCTATGAAGGGTGCAAAAGTCGTGGCCCATAACAAAGAAGCGAAAGGAGCCTGTAACGTACTCGGGAAAGATCACGACAAGTATTTAAGAAACCCGTGTTCAGTTGCAGATAAGTTTGTGGTGATCGAGCTCGCTGAAGAGACGTTAGTTGACACTGTAAAGATTGCAAATTTTGAGCATTACTCTTCGAATTTCAAAGAGTTCAGCTTATCAGGCAGCCTGAATTACCCAACTGAGACATGGACGCCGGCTGGCAGTTTCGTGGCTGCAAATGTGAAACATGTCCAGACATTTCGGCTTTCAGAACCCAAATGGCTGAGGTATCTGAAACTGGACCTGTTTAGCCACTACGGTTCGGAGTTTTACTGTACTCTGAGTGTTGTAGAGGTCTACGGCATTGATGCTATCGAGAGAATGCTTGAAGATCTGTTTGTTGCATCTGATACTCTCCCAGGTAGACACACTGTGTCCGAACTGAACCGGGAAGTTGAAATCACTGGCGAAAAACGAGACAGGAAAGTGAAGGGCAACGGAACAGTGCAGATTGGGGAGGAAATCGATGCTCAGAAGAAGAAAGATGACATTGTGAAGAGCGGGAGCTCGAGTGACAAGAAACACGAGTTCAGGGAGAAGCATAACGTTTTGAAAGTGTTGATGCAGAAAGTAAAGTCCCTCGAGATGAATTTATCGGTTCTGGAGGAGTATGTAAAGGAAATAAACCAGAGGGAACCAGAGATTAGCTTGGAGATAAACAAAACCCTAATGCTTGTGGAGGAAAGCAAAGCTGAAATCAGACAACTCATGGATTGGAAAGAGAAGACGGTATGGGTCACAGAATAACTTTCTTCTTCATCCTCACTCTAAGCTCAGTCATCAACTGCCATCTTACTTTTACACACACACACACACACACACACACACACATATATATGATATCCTTTGTTGCATTTAACCTCAGCCCACCAACCATATATTCATGACTTTGATATTTCTTACACAGGAAAAGGAACTCAAAGACACAGATCTATGGAAAACCCTTGTGATTTCCCGTGTAGAATCGTTGGCCAGAGATAACAGAGCCTTGAGGTCGGTTCTCTCTCTCTCTCTCTCCACTTAATGATATATCGAAAACTCGCCCGATGGAAAAGGAAATCACTTTTGTTGAAAGTGTAAGTCTTCTTATGTGTATACATATACGCTTTGAAATCAGATCGGAAGTGGAGAAGATTGGAAGAGAGCAGGCATATCTAGAGAGGAAAGAGCTTGGAATTCTCTTGATAAGCCTCTTCTTCGTGTGCTTGGCAACGATCAGGTTAGTCTCCACTCGAATCCGGGCCATTCTTGGAGCTTCTTGTACGGACAAACCGAGGCCGAGGCCAGATAGCGGTTGGGTCATGATACTTCTCAGCAGCAGCATCTTGCTTTTCATCACTTTGCTCTCTTAGTAGGAACTCACTCTCAGGGTCTAGGGTTTTAGATGTGCCTTGCCTCGCAAGTTATTATACCCCTTCAGATTAGGAGGAAGAATTATTTCTTAAAAAAAATAGAATGAAGAAAGAAAACTACTAAAATGTTTTTGGAGGTCGAATTTTATTTCCTTGTTTTTATGTAATATATTGTTTGTTTCTAATTTCTTTTTGGTTGATGTACAGTTTTTTTGCTAATTTCTTTTTGGTTAATTAGTGAAATAGGCAAAGGGTTTAATTGTTAAAATAAAAATAAAAAGGAAAAAAGCGAAAGTATGAGATTTTTTAAGGGCACGATTGTAAAATATCCTCAAAATCAAAAAACTGTCCCCAAAGTGACCCACTGCCCCTATTTGTCATCACAAATCACTCTTATCAAGTAATTATAATTAAATTCAATTTCTTCTAATCATATCATTAATTTCAGAAATACGGCTTGACCGATGGTGACCGTACCGAAATCATCGGTTTACTCCGGTTTGGTTCCTTGACGTAAGCAAACTTTTCTTCACGCAGGACCACAAATAACGGGTTTCATCATCGTCGTCGTCAAAATCCCGTAGCGGACGACACGTGGACACATTAAGACGACGACGTTTCATCGCCGATTTCCCTGCTTGGCAGACGCACGCCATTCGAGGACGAAAAACACTTGGAGAAAAAAAATCCAAAATCGGAATCGGAACCCTAATGGAGCAAGAGATGAAGGAGAAGATCGAGAGAACAGTGCGAGAGATACTTGAGGAATCGGACATGGCTGAGATGACGGAGTCCATGGTCCGTAAACTCGCGTCGGAGAAGCTCGGCGTCGACCTGTCGGAGAAATCGTATAAGGCGCATGTTCGGCTCGTAGTGAATTTGTTCCTCGACGAGCAAAGGACGAAGGAAGCTGCGCAAGCGGAGGAGGAGGAGGAAGGAGAGGAGGACGCTAGAGGTGCTCCCAAGGATAAGGAGTTGGACGATGAGGGCAATCTCATCATTTGTCGGGTTCGGTTTGATTTCCTCTCATTATCCTACGACTTTCTGTTGTTGTTCACGAGCTTGTTTGTTCTCTGCGCGACTTACATCATGGTTGACTTACTCCGATCCTCAGTAGTACTAAGGAGTAATCTCAGTGACAGTTACTGAGAATATAGAAATCGAGTCTGAGCTGTTGATAACTAGGATGATACACTGACGTCAGTCTCTTCGTTTTCCGTGTCCGCTTCAAATTGCACCGAATTTGTTGGCTGGATGGCATCGTTCTTCCTGCTCGGTGGAGTCTTTATATTATTTAACTAAAGCTTTAGACTGGGAAATTTTCTCGCATTTTCTTCTCAAACCCAGAAATATTTTATTGGAAATGTGACCATAGCCTTACAATCATATGTAAATTTCCGCCTTTAGTCGATGTGTGATCACTGCACACCATCAGGTGATTGTGGAACTTGGAAATGAGTCCACATTAGGTGCTAACCAGCCCTCATAAACCTATTGGCAGAATCTGAACCTGCTAGCCCTTTGGATGAGGGGGATGCCTGTAGTCATACGGGCATTGACCTATCGTATGCTCAGTTTATATGAGAGCAAAACAAAAATCTCGTCATTTGATTTTATGATAATTTTAATCGATGTTCTCATTGCCATGTGTTTATTATGGTTGATGATTCAGTTGTCAGATAAGAGAAGGGTGACAATTCAAGAGTTCCGAGGGAGAACACTTGTTTCGATCAGGGAGTATTACCAGAAAGATGGCAAAGAACTTCCCACTTCTAAAGGTACTTGGCGTAGTTCTTTATACAATGCTAGCACTTGTGGGCAATGCTTTTTGGTGTTCTAATGTTTTTGGGCGTGTTAAGTTATAAATGGTTTACTAGGAAGCTCGGAAACTCCATAGAACATAGCCTGCATTCAAAGAACAAATGATCCCGAGACTCGGGGCTAGAATTAATAAGATGTGTTCCGGTTGTACCTGCATCCCCCATGATAACATCCGATCCTTTGTCGGGTTCTTGTTCAGCATAAATGTCCAAACAGTGAAAGCGTGACGCGGAGTGTGTCCTCTAAACCATATAATGGATGACAATGGAACTCGATCACTAATCGGTCGAATCGAAATCCAGACTGCTCTGGCTGAGAAAGCAACCACAGGGATGTTGTTTATTACCCATAAATGCTTATCCTTCTAATTGGTTAGTCTGATATCCAACAAGAGAGTGACTAACCTCAGCTGGACGTCGGATCTTGGGTTAGGCAGTAACCAGCGGTTGTCACGATAGACCGATGCGACTCTTCCAGTTTTAGGGATGCCTAAGTCAGATGGTCCCGAAGGAACCGAACATCAAGTAGCTGCCCCAATGGGGACCAATTATCTAGCCAGAAGAAAGTGTCTTCCCCATTACCCACAGTTGTCCGAGCAAATCCTTGTGCATAGATAGGTCCTTAGTTTCAAGAGCCGTCAAAAGGTCCATGAGAACCGAGCTTGAGGCAGGGCTAATAACATTTCTAGCAAACCTAATTTTCAATGTCTACTTGGAACCCAATTCTGATGTCTAGTGCAGGAGATATCTTTTCGATCCTCTTGAGTTTACAAACAGTCTTTTGATGCCTCCAGGAATAAGCTTGACGGGGGATCAATGGTCGGCATTCGAGGAAAACATCCCAGCCATCGAGAAAGCTATCAAGAAGATGGAATCTCGAGTTTGAGATCTTCGCATTATTGCTAAAGCCGTTCAAATCCGCTTTCCAGAACCTGTAAGTTTCTATTTTGTAGTGTGTGAATGAAACCCGCATGCGTATTTCGGTGGTAGTCGAGGTGACACTGTATGTGTGTGTACAATATCACTTTTTTTTCTCACAATGAAATGTCAAAATAAGAAAGATCCTAAGCTGTGATGACTAGAGGAGTTGAAGTTCTTTTGCTGTTGGATACTTTGTTCGTTAATTGGTTATAATTTTAGGGTTGATATGATGGGGTTGACAATAAGTTTTGATCCCTTTTTTTCTTTATCGATTGAGCCACTCAATCTTGATAGCAAGATCAAGATTGTATTATTTGATTATAAATATATTTGTTAATATTTAAAATTATAACTGATTTACACATCAATATTGATGAGTTTCGAATTCTTTTGTCCAAGTCCTAAACTAAATGAAAATATAATTTACGTGATATTTATATATTATTATATTATCGATGCGTAATTCACGTGTTGATAATAATTTACATGTGTTGTTTTTTTGCACCTAATCTAACATTGGATTTTATTTTAAATCTAAGTTTAATACAAAATTTGTTTTTACATATTACTATATATTGATTATATATCATTATCGTGATAATTCGTAAATAACAAGTTGTTTTCGTTTAATCAAATATATTTTTATAGATAGAATTTGGAAAACCATCGATATTCATGTACGAATTCGTTATGTTTTCAGATGTTTTCCTTATATTTGAAAAATATGATATATTATTGTGTTAAAATTAAAATTCATATAAAAAAAATAGTTTCGAGTGTGGGCCCCTTGGATCAAAAGATGATGTAAGAATTCCAAATCACTAGATTATTCCGCATCAGAATCTGACGGACCGTAAGATACTCTTCGAGAAAATCCAACGGCTGGGAAATCTCCAACAATAAGTCAAAGAAAAGTCAACTCCATTTGGTTGAACAACAAGAGTTGCCACATCCCACGAAACCGGGAATCTTGTCCGAAAGCCTCCCTAATTTTCAACACAATAAAACTATTAAATATTAATATTATATTACGACCCAAAACTTTTATATTAATATTACTGATGATTATGACAATGATAATGATCGCAATTATATTAAAAACAATGACAATGAATCATTCCGATATATAAATACCATACATGAAGTTGTTGTTCGGATCTTTGAAAAAATCCTCTTTACATAATTATGGTTCTAATTCAATTTATTTTTTTTATAAACTATGTGTTATATTTATTATCAAGATTTTGGACTATATACTGAATCCAACTATATTTAATATCAACTGAAACATTGTTTTGTGACATGTCATATGTTATATTTCCTATAATATACAGTATTTGTTATCGATACTTTTATTATATATTTGAAGTGAAATATATATTAATTGAAAAGTTGTTTTTATGAAAAATGAAATTCTATGTTTTCTATAATCTTTATGCTAGTTTTTTTTTTTTGGAATAACCATTGAGAAAAAAAATATTGTGGTCTTTGACAAAAAAAAATAGTTTGGATTTAACAAAAAAAAACTTTGGACCATACTTAAAAAATAACAAAAATAAATAAAAAATCCGATGGCAAAAGATGAAATGAAATAAAAACAAAACCCGCATGAGAAGTGCCTTCACGTGGATTCCAACGGGATATTCCGCTTTTATTGTTTCAAGCATCCACCAAAGTGATTTTTTTTTCTAAATTAAATAATAAAATAAAACAAATACGTAGTTTATCTTAATATATATATATATATAT